GAATTTGAATGCTCTGTTCATACCTTTACCTCTATCAGGTTAACAACTTTTTACTGATCAACCTTCATGTATAATTCACTATGTGAATACTTGACACAAGCCACTTCTAAGTCCCACAGTGATAGATGGCTTCTCATTGTCTTTACAATGGATATGATATTAAGATATACTCTAGCAGCCACATTGATAATCTGTGTCACCAGTCTCAGACCAGCCCCTGATTTCAAGCTACAACCATGGCAGACAGTTCATATGGGTTAGGAGAGTGCTACTTCTAAAGTCTTTGCCTTATATCTATTTTTTTAAAGATTTTATTTATGTATTTGACAGAGACACAACGAGAGAGGGAACACAGCAGGGGGACTGGAAGAAGGGAAAAGCAGACTCCCCGCAGAGCAGGGAGCCCGATGCGGGGCTCAATCCCAGGATTCTGGGCTGAGCTGAAGGCAGATGCCTAATGACCGAGCCACCCAGGCACATACTTTATATCTATGTTTTAATACTTTAGGGCTTCTCCCCAAATTCTTGGCAACTTCCTTAGGTGATGCATTGGACAGTCCAAACATATAAGGGATTGACATGCCTAGTGGCCAGTGTCTACCAATGGAGAATAGGAGTCATGAACAAACACTTTTATATGTCATCCTTCAGAATGACACATCCCACATAGTACCTCAAAAGCAGCCAGTAGTATTGATGCCTAGTTGTCTACAATGAGAACTAAGTCCTTATCTCTGGCTCTGCTTTCAGAAGAATTCTAGACCCTCAGAGCACCTGGGTAATTTTTCTAAGGATCCCTGGATACAATTACCTCCATACTTCAGAACTTGATTTTATTTCACTCAGATGTCCATCTTCTTTATACCATATCACCATAGCAGAGCAACTCACTGCCCAAAGTTGATTGAAGGTTTTGAGGAAAGACAAGAAGTCTTCTGATTTGTTAAGGAAAATAAAACTGGCAGAGGTGGGTAAGATGCAGTGAAAACACAGATTCCCTAGAAACAAGGGAAGCCATTACAAGACAGTTATGTTCTCGCAGTGAATGTATTGTTCCTCATCACATGGCCCCACAATTGAGAAGTCTTCTGCAGATGTCAAATGAAATCAGTTGGCTCCAACTTTGCCCTTTCAAAATTTACTTCCCTTCTTATGGGAAAAGCAGACTCCTGGGTCCTACGATATACTGTTTTCCCTAGATAGTCATTGTTTCCTTTGCAATTCAGCAGTATTTTTGATGGCTTTGACAGTTCAAACTCGCCTGACATTTCCAAAGTAGCTTACAATGAGGAAACAGCTGAGTGCTTGATTTTATAAGTATTTTCAAAGAAAGGGGAAGCATTCTCTTCCAGCTTTGTCATTCCTTATCTTAATGAGCCTTAAATTGATAGATTAGCCAAGCCAAACTTAGGCGACTTTGCTGTTAAACTTAATAAAGGTTTTACAAATGGATTTGACATAGCGGTTGAATGCCCACTTAAGACACTGAATCATTTGAGATCAGAGAAGAGCATTATTAAAAGAAACATTGGGTCACTGAAGGGCAAAATACCTTTGAAAAACTATTTGAAACAAAACATTTAAATCACGAGTAGCACAAAATTCTACATACTGGAAATGTGACTCATATAAAATAGTACCCACATGACTCAGGTGATTATGGGTATTATCCTATATGGGTCTTCCTCAAAGAACTTCATACAGAAAAAAACCCATAAAATAAAGACAACATAATTACTTTCAATCAAAATGTTTTGTAGGAGAGTGGATCCTGTTACATGGAAATTCTCTTTGTGCTGCTGGGTTTAGGTATAGGAAGGTGGGCCTGGAGCAGATTATAGCAAAAGGAGTGTCATAGAAATGAATGGTTCCTCCTTATTCACTAAGAAGGCTCTACTCACTCCCTGGCAATCCATGTGGGAGTGAGGAAAAAGAGAAATAGGAAAAGTGAGTAAAAGAATGACATCTTGAGAAGTTATGAAGTAGGCAATTATGACTGAAATATAGTTTAAATTTTTTCATGGTGGGCTAACCAAAGTCTATTTTAAAGATCATCTATTTAATGTGGATTTTGAAGTTGTTATGGTTGTGATGTAAGCCAATTTCCTATTATGTCCCCACTCCCACAATCCCAGCAGAAGCCCATTCTTCTATATTCCATAAAGTGCATTACACTATACAATGCCTTCTGTGAAAAAGGATTTTTAAGGGATCTGAGGAAATGATTTCATTTGATATTTTTCAGAACAGAGAGAATACAAATGCCGGTACAGAAACAGAGTGATCAAGGGAAACATCTCTCTACCCTTCCCCATTCTCTTCCCAACATATATTTGCTGAAATCTACCTACTACAGAGCTTTGGATTCTATAGATATTAAAAGAGTGGTTTTAGTTGATAGATCAATCCAAAAGGGGCCAGAAAGCCTCTGGTGTCATATGAGTTACACAAGTAATAGTATTGTGAATATATGTATTAGAGTTCAAAAAAAAAAAAAAGAACAGTAACTAACTAGAAATTAATCTTTTCTCTATTGCCTATAGCTACCATGAACATTAGCTGCTAAGTGTAATGAGCTGTGGAAAGGAAAGGGTAGAGCCATAGACTCAGAGTTAGAAACATACCTAGTCTAGTCCAAGATTCTTGCTGTTAAAAAAAAAAAAAGATTTTGTTGTTTATGAGATCTTACATAGATCACCTACACCCACCCCAGAATATAATGAACTACTATACGGCAGCACCTTTGTGACTTTGAGGAACTCAGTTTGAGAATCATGAATGCAGTTCAATTATCACATTTTACAGATGGAGAAATGGAGTGAGTAGAGCTCTTTAATGCCTTGGCTGAAAACTAACTGCTACATAAGACATTATGACAACCAAGAGAGTAGTGAAATAACCGTGAATTACTTTTATAGACATTAAGAGAGAAGTTATATTTTAGTATCACTGACTTGTCTATAGCTGGTTTTGAATCCCTCCCATAATGCCACAGGAAATTCTACAACAATATTTGAAAGTATGCTACAAACACAAAGTTTCAAATCCTAAACTGCCGAAGAATATTAATCAGTAGCATTCAGATTCTCCATAAGTTCTCAGAATTGCCTCATAATTAGTCTGTCTTTGGCTTTGACCTATTCCAAGACCAGAGAGCCCTCATGTTCAATTGAGAAGGTATCTGTCATTACTGTCTTCCAAGGGATGATATAGTTGAACCCCAGTATTTTCTCTGGAAACTGTGTCTAAATAATTGACAAAAAGTACAGAAAAGACTGATGTATGAATTTTGGCTTTTTGGAAGACTTTTAGCATTACATCCTCCCCATTATCAGAGTTAATAAAGGCAGTTTACACAGAGCAAAAGGCAGAGATATTCTAGTGAGTCAAGACAAGATAAAAGGACATTTAACTCTCAAATTAGTAACTTTATTTTTATTTTTTCAGTTTTGCACATAACACTCTTACTCCTGTGTCCTTAAAGTGGAATTATTTCTTTTATGCCCTGCTAGTGGGAGTGTAAATTGGTGCATCACTTCTGGAAAGCTTTGGGAGCATGAATCAAAAGCCTATAAAATGTTCATACATCTTGACCTAGTAATTGTAGTTATGCTCCTGGAAAAGTTTTCCTGAGGGGAAAATCAGAACTGTCAATATTTATGTACAATGGTATTTTTACATCAATAATTATAATAAGAGAACATTGTAAACAACCTATATTTACCAAATGCAGGTTAAACATGGGACATTAAAAAAAATTATTAAGAAGGACTTGGATAGACATTTCTCCAAAGAAGATATATGTGTGGCCAGCAAGTACAGAAAAAGATCCTCAACATCACTAATCACTAAGGAAATCAAAATCAAAATCATAAAGAGATATCACCTCACATCCCCTGGAATGGCTTTTCTCACAAAAACAGAAAATAACAAGCATAGGCAAGGATATGGGTAAAGGTAAACCTTGTGCACTGTTGGTAGGAATGTAAAATGGTGTTGCCATTGTGGAAAACAGTATGGTAGCTCCTCAAAAAATTAGAACAACATTATGATTGAGCAGCTCACTTCTGGGCGTAAAGAATTGAAAGCACGTTCTCCAGGAGGTATTTGTATACCTATGTTCATATCGGCATTGTTCACGATAGCCAGAAGGTGGAAGTAACCCAGATGTCCACTGACAGATGAATGGATGAACAAAATATGGTCTATACATAGAATTGAATATTATTCAGCCTTAAATTGGAAGGGAATTCTGACACATGCTACAGCAAAGATGAACTTTCAGAACTAACACTAAATGAAATAAATGAGTCACAAAAAGACAAATAACTATATCATTCCATTTATTTGAGGTATCAGGAATAGTCAAACACCTAGAAACAGAAAGTAGAATGGTGGTTTCCAATGGCTGAAGAGAGAATGAAATGGGGAATTTCTGTTTAATGTGTATAGAGGTTCAGTTTTGCAAGATGAGAACATTCTGGAGATCATTGTTGCAACAATGTGAATATACTTACTACTAAACTATATTATTAACTATGGATAACATTTTTTTGTTTTATGCATTTTTATAAGAATTTTTTTTAAAGGGAAGACGTGAGGTAGATAGGGGTGGTCTCCCTGAGACACAAACTTGGGATCAGAGACCTAAGGATGAGGAATCAGCCATGGAAAGATCTGGGAAGAACTTTCCTGGAAGAGAGAATAGCAGGTGAAGGGCTTTGAGATAGGGCCACATTGGTGTGTTGAATACCAGAGAAAGTCAGCATGCCAGAGCATAACAGGTGGATACTAGGTAAGAGGGCAAAGGAAGTTTCAAGGGCTAAATGAGAAGAAAAATTATCTGATCTGATTCACCTTTTTAAACTCTTGCTTCTATGGAAAGAGTTTTAGGAGAACAAGAGCAGAATCAGGGTCTCTGGGTAGATTCTGTTTTACCATCCGGAGCTAGAGATGGAAGTCTCCCATATGACATGGGTAGGTCATATACCTCCCCTTACAGAGCCTTGGAGATCACAGAGGTTGACTCTCTTTGGGGGCTGGGAAATCAAGATTCATTCATCAAATAATTCCATGATCCTCTGCTGGATTAGAGGGAATTGACAACTGTGTAATACTGTCAGATGAGGCTTAGGAAGATGTTTCTCTTAATTGATTGTCCTGTCTTATTCCTGCCCCTGGCATATTTGTTCTATATAGAAATTCATATTTGAACATTTTCATTTGGAAAGAATCTGGAATCACTACCTAAGGTACAGTGTCTTTTCCAATCATCCTGCTTTGATATAAATTCTCTGCAGTTGGGAGGACTGTGGGCTACAGTGGAAGGGAGATTTTGAGATAGAAACTAAATTAGAGACCCTGAAAACAACATCAACATGGAACTTCTTCTTTTTCTAGGTTTTTTGTTTTTTTTTTTTCCGCAAGCTCAATGCAAATGTTACTGAAGAAAAGCAGTATATAATTTATATTTGGACAAACTAACTCTAAAATCTGACTCTAACACTTAGGCCTTAGTTGGCTTTGAGATGCCTTCAAATAAAGAATGTCAGGACTGTTTTGGATTTCAGATCCCTGTTTCAATTGTCCTTCATCACTTTAAACAACATGTACAACAAGCGATTCTATCATCAGTAGCTGCGCAGTATCGACAAAGAACATGAAGGTTGAAGGCATTCAGATTATTTATAATCCTAGCTCTGTTATTCCAGAGCTTCGTGAATTTAAGTAATTTTCTTAAACTTCTTGAGCCTTACGTTACTCACCTAAAAGGAACGAATGAGATCTATACTTCCCATAGTGGGTGTGAACATTTTTCCCTATTTTTTTCCTCCTCCGTTTACTTTCTGTTTATAGGGTGTGGGAAGAAAAATGAGTCTCAGTGTGTGCATATGAGAAACTCATGGGGGATGTGCAAAGAGGTTGCCTAATATTCAGTTGTCAGGGGGTCTCATAGAGAAGGAACCAGAAAGAAGTATCTCCAAGGACCTCACTAGGCAGTTGCTCCAGGAAATGAATTTGGGATGGGCAGCCTGGAGACAGGATTGCAATGTTGATTCTGCCATCAGTTGGGTCACTGGTTCTGACCCTCAGGGAGTCATTTCCCTTATTCAGGCTGAAATTCCTCCAGTTATGAAACTGACCTTGGAAATCACTGATCCAGCTGGAAAGGTTTATGTAAAAATAAATTTGTATCTTCTTCTTTCAGACTGCCTGCCATCAACTATCTCCTCCTACCACAAATTCTGTTGCTTTGGAGAGAAGCCAGGAAATCTATCTCTATGTGTCTCTCTCTCTTTCTCTCTCCCTCTCCTTCCTTAGCATACTCTGTATGTAACCAGGTTTGAAAAACCCTGGATTAGATAACCATATAGGGCTTCATTATATGAGGCTCTGAGATCCAATGGTCTATTCAGTCCTTTCCTATGGCACTAGGCCAACTCTGAGGATGTCCTATGTTAAACTCTGTAGGTTGTGGGAGACCAAGAATCAGATCTGTTTTCTTACTTATTTGGGCTTTTTAAATTTATCAACAGGCAGAGAGTTAGGCATCTCGACTGGGAGAATTCAGAAAAAGAAAAGAGTAAACGAGGCTGGAACTCAAGTTTCTGGAACTGGAAGTTTGTTCAAGATCCAACACAGCCCAAGGACTGAGTGCATTCATTAGGAACAGTTTCAACTTCAAAAAACTGGTAGTTTAAATAAATGTAGGCTTACTACTCTTACAGCGTGCATTCTGGAGGGGAGCTGACATCCGTGGTTCTGTGGCCACTGAGGTCAGGATCAACATCTCATGTAATCAAAATCGTCGTCCTTTTAGTTGGCTCACAGTAAAAAGCAAAGTATGTTGACGTGCTTCCGGGCATTATGTACACATTCCATATGCAATGCAAGAGAGAGAGCGAGTGTCTTTCAGAAAGCCTTCTCTTTTCTTTATATTTACTTCTCTTAAGAAAACACGATTTCTCTTTAGGGGGTCTCAAGTTTCAATACTTCTTTTTTTTTTTTTTTACTTTGGTCATTTTTTTTCCTTTACTGTAGTAAAATGCATGTAACAATTGTTTATTCAAGAAAAAGTTAAAACCTTTGTATTAGTTAGTATGAAAAAAAAAAGTGGTGACCACCAAATATTCTGTCTGCTGTCCCATATCTCGTATCTTCATTCAATTAGGCAGGAGTGTGTAACTAAGTCATGGATAATACGATGCAAACAGGAGTGGCGGGAAGGGACTTCCAGGAAATCTCCTTAAGTGTAGTATTTTTGTTTGGCTTTTTTGTTTTGTTTTGTTTTAATGAAGCATGTTACTTTTTCTCTACAAACTCAAGTAGTGCTCATTAGAAGAATAGATATTTGGTAGTCTCTACTACAGAATAATATGTATAAGAAGTTTTGGTGGTGCCTGGGTGGCTCAGTGGGTTAAGCCTCTGCCTTCAGCTCAGGTCATGATCTCAGGGTCCTGGGATCAAGCCCCACATCAGGCTCTGTGCTCAGCAGGGAGCCTGCTTCCTCCTCTCTGTCTCTACCTGCATCTCTGAATACTTATAATCTCTATCTGTCAAATAAATAAAGAAAATCTTTAAAAAAAAAAAGGAAATTTTGGGGGGAGAAGCCAAGCCCAAAGGAATTAAGATTATTAATTTAAGATATAGAGTGATGTCATAAAAAAAAAATGTAAGGCTTAGGGTTAGTTAGCCGTGAGTTAAAGATTGAGAAATACTGAGCTAGATGCTATATTAGGAGGGTTGTATTAGTGTTTGTCTAATGACAAGATCTGAAGTAAAACAGTTTATCCCCAGTTAACAGGAGGAAGCCAAAGCTTTGATAAGTTGAGTAATGTGTCTGGGCTGCTGCACAGACCCCACTTGGTATAGCACTCAATGTGGGCACTCAATGAGTATTCCTGTCTTTCATTTTCATTCAGGTTTGAATCTTCTCCAGTACTTTGCCCAAAATAGTGCTCATTATATGTTCTACGGTGACAAAAGCAAGTAGTCAACCAACTGTACTTTTGTAATATACATAAGATAATTAATTATTAATCATTAATCCATCAGGATGGCAGATGGGAAGGACACTCCCCAAACCCCAGCCTATTAAAAACACTGATTTTGTTCCCCAGCAGTTTGAATATTTTCTTTCCCACTGTAGGAAGCCCCCAGCTCTATTGTGTGGCTTTGAGGCAAGGTAAAGATACATACATTGAGAATTGTCTTTTCTGTCTCTTTAAGAAGAACCCAGATGAAGACTTAAGCTGAGAAAGTTTTAACAGCTTTTTTTGTCTTCTCAACATTTGTTGTTTACAGCTGCCTTATAGACCAAATTGATGGGGAAAAATAAGAAACTAAAAATAAACAAGGACTTTCATTCACAGGGGTAATGCAGTTACATAAGTCAAAGTGGCAGGTCATATGAAGCCTTCTGTGATTCCTTGGAGTTTCTGTCTCATTTCACTGGCTAGCAAACAGTGAAACAGTAGGATATATATTTTTCAATTAGGTTGTCAATATTTTGACAAAACAACCTATTTATAACATTCAGGATTACTGTTCTGTTCGGGAGAACCACTAGAAGCTGCTGTGTGCTGGATGTCAGTTGGAGATTTGAAATGGTATGATTGAGTAGGGTGTAGTAACTCACTTCCTGGGTTTCATCTGCCTGTCAGTCATGCAGGTGTGATACACTCATCATTGTGTCTGGTTATTGTGAGAAAATATCCCCTCCCAATATTGCACCTACTTACCATAAAAATAATAATAATAGTAAGAGTAACAAGTATAAGAGGAGATAAAAATTGGAGATCATGGGTCTATTTGGAGATGAGTATTTACTGATAGAGCATCAGAATCAGAATTCTACGAAGACAGTGGATGATTTTAATGGAAAATAGCAATTTATTTTTTTCGAAGTTGAGATGCTATAAGAAAAATGTTAGGGTTCGAAGCCAATGACCAAGAAATTATTCTTGAGACATCTTTGGTACAAAAAGGTGGTTTTATGAAAGCACGAGAACAGGACCTCTGAGCAGAAAGAGCTGCCCTAAGGTCATAAGGAGTGGCCCATTATATAATTACAAGTTGGGAGGGGGTTAGGGATAGCATAAGTCTCTAAAGAATTTTGGAAGCAAGGTTTCCAGGACCTTGAGGGGGCTAGGTATTTTTGAAAAAGGTCACTTTTTGCTATCTAATAAAATTTTAGTCATGAGATCCTTCAGATATATGTCGGTGGGTCATATGCTTGGGGGAAGATTGCCAACATGTATCTTGGGAGGTAGAGATAAAGGAAGTTTCCAAGGGAATTTCTACATGTTAAGGTAGACTTACCAGATCTTGGGGGTTGGGCGTAAGATAGCCTTTTGCTCTTAGCAAGGTATTAACATTGAGGCAGCTGAGTTCCTAGAGGAATGTCACTCTGCCTATTTTAAGGACTTGTCAATGGGCTGTAGGTAGTAAGGAAATTTAATAATTTCTCTTCTGACTTTGTTTCCCACATCAGAGGAAGATGATTGCCTTATTGACCACTCTTTTCGTTCCCTGAATACTCTGTATCTTCATGTGACCATAACTTTCCTATGATTTTTAGGAAAAGAATGTAGACTTTGAGATGGGTCAGGCTTAGCTTCCAAACCTTGCTCTTTCATTTGCTAACCACACGACCCTGGGTTTTTCCTTTAACTCCTGAGCTTTATTTCATTACCTATAAAATGAACACATTGAAATTGAATTCAGATTATTATACAGAATTGAATGAATAGAAGTGAATGCACCTTGTTAACCAGAAAACACTATACAAATATTGTTATTATTGATGTTGAAGGTCAACAATCTCCTGTATTACAATTACAGAGAGAGGCATATGTGTAAAGGAAAATTTATCTATTAAGAGAATTTTTTTTGTTAAGTGATTTTAACTGCTGACAATATTAATAGTTTTAATGGGATTAAACTGGAACATAAGTAAGCACTGAATAAGAGTATAAGAGGGTAAATAAAAGAAGTAAGAAAACCATTGTTTCATGGATGTGCAATACAAGGAGACATTTTCTTTAATTATAGGCAGTTTCTCTATTTAAAAAAAAATCATGTTTTCAATTAATGGAAGGATGGATATCCATAGCCTTTTAAAATTTCTGTTGCTTTAAGTTTTCATGGGATCTCAATGGAGACAATTATAACCAGAGGTATAATTATCTAGGGTAATGAGACTGCCTTTGTTCTAACTGGGGTCTGCTCATAACAAATCCCCATTTGAAGAATGAAGATATTAAATGTCAATAATCAATTGACCCAAATCATTGGAGAAGACAAGCTGAAGATGGGCCCCAAGGAAACTCATTTTGATTGTGTAGCATACATTCTTAAAGATGCAAAACAGAGATATTTGCATGCTTTGGTTATTTAAATTGTAAATGGAATACCTTGAGAGAAGTTGACTCAGTAGTAATATTTAAAATGTCAGAGTGACAGAAAAACAGTATGAGATCACAAGAAACTTCAAAATGATTTTTTTTCTTTATATTTATCTTTTCTTTTTCTTTAAAAAATAGTGTAGCATATCTGGCACACTGGCTGGAGGCTACTATCATACTTCCCCTTTAAATAAACCTAATTTGTTCGTAAATGCACAGATTCTACCTAAACTGTCTAAACATCTGCTCGAGTCATTGGAACACCACCAACAAAATAGTCACAGTCCACCTGCTGCTCTAACTCAACTTTCCTGGTACTTCAGTTCCTCTGCTGCACCTAGAGCTCTTACTGGCGTAGCCTTCCCGTTTATATGGCAGTCTTTTGCTTCTCAGCAACAGAAAGCAACTCTGATAAGCTTTCACAGGTAGAAAACATGCATTAAAAACTTAGGGCATCCGAAAGAAGATAACCAGTTAGCTGAAGAAATCTATCCATGAGTTTCTGGTGCTCTCACTTCCACCAAACTGTTACTTTTAAATGCTTTCTGTAACTGCGTGTCTCCCTATGATCTATGTTCCTAGGAGGTAAAATATGATTAACTTGTATTACAGGCCCATACAGAGCCAAGTAAACTGGGCAAAGAGGTAGTACCCCACATTGAATATATTCCAAAAGCTATATTAAGTTGATGAGGCCAAAACATACCAATGTCCATCACCACTGATCTGCCCGGACCTCTTACCTGATGATACTTCAAATGGGCATACCCTGTAGGATACACTAACATCCTTACGTCAATAGTTCAATTAATATTTGACTATTTTCTATTTGCTAGGCATTATTAACCCTTAACTCCAAGTGCACAGAAGATAGCCACACTTTCAGTTTTTAGAGAGCACATGCTAGTGAAATGAAATACCACTATCAAAAATCATCTTGTTTGCTTTGTTGGTAAAACATGCATGATTTAAATAAGGTCAGCTGAGCAGAGGGATAGAGAATCTAGAAAAGTTGTCAGAGAAAGCCTCTCTGGAGAGGTGAAATGTACTCTATGTTCTGGGTGATAGGAGGGGACCAGTCACGTTGAGATCTGAAAGAAGACTGTGTCAAGGCCAACCGCAGGGCCTAATGTTTGGAGATGAAGATGTATCTTTGGTCGTTTTGAGGAATAAAAATGGCTGGAACGTTGTGGGAAAGGGCTATAGGAAGAATATGCAGTTGAAGAGGAACAAGGGTGTTTTTTATGCTTATGCCAATATCTGAAGCTTGGGTTTATGCTAAGTGCAAATGGAAGTACCTAGAGGCTTTTCAGGGGATGCCATGGTATGCTTTGTGCTTTTAAAAATTCATTCTGGGGAGCAGCTGGCTGGCTTAGTCAGTAGAGCACGCAACTCTTGATCTCAGGGTCATGAGCTCAAGTCCCATGTTAGGTGTAGAGCCTCCTTACAAAAAGGGAAAAAAAAATTACTCTGATTACTCTATAGAATAGCTACTGTTGAAGAGTAAGAGTAGAAATAGAGACTGGATGAGAAATGATGATCATGTGAAAGAGGAAAGACCTGATTGGATTTAAAGCATATTTGAAGATATCACGTTACGTGGTAATGCTGGAGATGCAGCCCGGAACCGGTCAGACAAAGCTAACAATTCTTAGTTGGTGGGGGGTGGATGGAAACTGAATAAACATGAATATCAGGAGAGTCTTCTTGGGGAGGTCCTCAGGAGGACCCAAGGTACATGTCAAGGGATACAAGCTACTCCACTGATGGCTGGAGCAGGGGATTTTGGACAGTCTTCTCTTTTACAGCTGACAACTACGGCTTACAGATGGAAGCCTATCTGTTCCTCACACCTTCATAGTGACCCATGTCAGCCTCTTTTGGTCTTGACGCAAAGCAAAAGGAGTCATGTATATACATGAACAGTTTGTGAAGTTCTCATTCACAGAATGCATTCTTGAGAAAGAAAAGTCAAACCAAAATGTATTTTTATTAAAATGGCATAATTAATTTATAACAACATTATATACTATAAAGCTGAACTAGTATTTTCATAAAAAGATGTTGGCTTATTTGGAAATCAGAATTTGAAATATCCTACAGACGTATGCTCCATGTGAGGGAAGGAGGCATAAGTTATGAGGGGAAATGGCGTACGTGACATGCCAGCGCGTGATAGAAGTTGTGATTAAAAGCATAATTTCTGCTGTGAATCAGAACTGGGCCAGATCTGCTACTTCCAGCTCTGTGACCCCTGGGCAAATGATTTAATCTTTCTTAATATGTATTGTTGTTTGTAAAATAAAATCTAAAGTGTTGCCTATATCCTAAAACTGTAATGAGGATTAAATGTGACAACTAAGAGTGAGTGTACATGTAAGTGCTCAATACATTTTAGCTATTGTTATTATTATTATTATTTAAATGACAGCTACTGATGGCCATGTAGCTGCATAGCAGAGTGATTAAGAACATGAATTCTGGAGCAAACTGCGTGGGTTGACTCCTGTCACTACCATTATAGCATAGATCACAGATCTGTTCTCTCTCTTATTACTGCAAAATAACAACTTTGTGGAAAAAACCCTTAATCCCCCAATTACTCTTTCTTTTCCAAATTTCTCATTCAAAAAGTCTTTATTTCTTATTTTCCCAATGTGTCAGTGTAACTATGCTTATTAGCTTCTTCTCTTCTACACATTTTTAGTCTTCCGTGGCATCTGTATCCCTAATGCTTTGCATAGTACCTGGAACATAATAGATGCTCAATAAGTGCTTGTTGAATGAACGAAATAGCCAATAAATGGACATTTCCAACAGATAACAGAAAACCTCCACTCTAATGTGTGACCAGTGTGTTCCAACAGCCAGGGAACACCTGTATCAGTACCTTCTCACTTTTCCCCCTTCCTCTATTTCCATCATATGCCTCTGTTATGTTTTGGACTGAAGAAAAGAAGGGCTGGACGTCACATGCATTGGAAGGATCTAAGACTGAATTTCAGGAAGTCTTTTCCAAGTCACCATTGCCTTTGGCCTTTGGCTAAGTCAACTTTATTTCTTTATATCTGTGAACCCTGTAGAGCTTCTGCACCTCTACACCTCAGTGACAATTCCATTACTTAACACATTTTACACTGTTGTGGTAGAGGAGGAAGGATTATGCTTTTTTTGAACTTGGGACTTGACATTGATGTTACAGCAAAGCATAGAAGTTCAAATCCTGCCCACACTAAGGGCGATTTTCTCACCCAGATGCCTTTTACTAGCACATACTGTTATGCATGATTTATGGGAACTTTATTTATTCTCTTTGCTTCTGTCCCTCCCTAGAGCCACTTCCTTGCTCCTCTCTTGGATGGTGTATACGAAGGGATTTGTCATTTGTTTCTATACGAGTATAGAAAAACAAAACAGAATGTCATATCTGAGATTCTGAAACCTATTTACTCTAACCCTAATGTTTTAATGGAAAGGAATTTGAGATTCCAAGGAGATATTGATGTGTGCAAAGGCAAATGAGAAGGTTCAGTATTCATTAGTATCCAACAGCTGGCTAAAAGCAGATTTGTCCCCTTTATGACAGATAACTCAGAAATCACACCAACTTTGGGTTTGGCTTTGCTGAAGCTGAGTAAATAGATCTGTCAATTAAAATAAATATGTAAATATTGATTAAACACTAAAATTATTTACATGCTACTTTCAAAAGAAAGGCAAACCACTGGGGGATATGCCTTTTATCAGCTACTGTTCAGATTGTTCAATTGCTTTAAAAACACTAGTTTTTAAAGAAATGTTCATTTACTTTTGTTTCTCCTTCCCCCTAAAAAAAAAGAGTAAAGGAAAATGTATAGCCCAACTACTATAAATGATAAGTATATTTTTTCTATATTCTTTCAGGCTATTAAATATATATGTACACAAACATATTTACACATATGTATGTATATTGAAGTTTAATTAAAAATTTAAATAATTTAAGTAAAACTTTGACCTCTTAATACCATTTATTTTTACTCGATAATACCCAAGGCTGGGAACTCTGGGAACTCTGCTAAATATTTTATAATAATAATTTATAAATCATTTTATTCAATTCTCAGAGAAACCATCTCAGATATTATTATTATTACCATTAATTTCAAATTAAAAAAATACAAAAACAAAAAATTTAAAATCAAATAATTTAAGAAACATTCCTGGATCATATACCTTGTGAGTGGCCTAACAAAGACTTGAACCTACTTTATTTGTTATTTTTTAGCTTTTCATCACTGTGCGAGATAGATATATAGATACAGAGATTTTTTATATCTAAACATTCATCTCCCACCCCTTTTCTTCCAAAATGCTTTATTCCTCAGCCATGTTCTTAACCTCTAGTGGGCTAGAAGTTGTTGCTTGAAGATCATCCTTCTCCTTCAAACATTGAGATCTGGAAGATAAGGATAATTGAGCTTATAGTTCACGGAGTCCCCTCACCTTTTCCTATTCGAATCAACAAGATATGGCAATTTAAAGTTCAGCCTACCCAGATTAATTTCTTTAATTACCAGACCTAAAATGCCAGGTTGTTTTGCTTTTGTTTTTGTTTTTGTTTTTTGCAGAAGATCTTGTACAATTGACCGGATCTGCCTTGTACTTTCCTTGACCAGGGAAAAAGATGGACATACTTCTCATGGGTTGGCCTCCAAAGTACTTGTGTTGGAGAGCTAGCTCTCCTTACAACTGTGGCACCTTCGAAAAACATAATTATCCAAATTCTCTTATTTGTAAAATTGAGGTGATAGTATATGACACAGTATTATAAGTGTGACAAAATGTGTTCAATAAGATATGTACTGAAGCTGTAAAGTAGGATACATGTCACAGGATTCTTTTGATTCTCTTCTTGCAAGTCTACATGATGTGTTAGTTTATATTTGGTGTAGAGATAACATGACCAGCTGTCCTGATTTAAACAGAACTGAGGGTATTCTCAGGACACGAGATATTCAGTATTAAACTAGAAAAATCCCAGCAAATTAGGGCAAGCTGTTCACCCTCTCTGGCGCTTGATGACATGACAGCTACACAGCTAGTCCAATTCCTGTGACACTAAACTTTTAATCTAGGTATACCCAGCTCCTCTGTGGCACCTAATGACCCTATGCTTGTCTTATCAGAGTGTGTCAAGAAACACCAGTCAGGGTCATTTCTCTCTCACAGCCTGACATGAAACCATCTTATCTGGTCCTTGTTGTGGAGAAACCCAAGTGATATGCTGAGAGTGGTGAGCACTCTTAGAAGTGGTGAAAAAGAAAAGATTTGGACTCTTCTTTCAACATTTCAAATGATTCTTGACTGAATATCTGAACAATGTATATCTTAAATCATTAAGAACACTAGTTTTCTCCCTTGAGAAAATGTAAAAAAAAAAAAAAAATTGAGGCGTGCCTGGGTGGCTCAGTCGTTAAGCATCTACCTTTGGCTCTAGGGCGTGATCCCAGGGTGCTGGGATTGAGCCCCGCATCCCATCCGGCTCCCTGCTCTGTGGGAAGCCTGCTTCTCCCTCTCACTCCTCTTGCTTGTGTTTCCTCTCTCACTGTGTCTCTCTTTGTCAAGTAAATAAATAAAATCTAAAAAAAATAATTGAGGAACTGCTGTAGCTAAAATCACTAAAAAACAAACAACAACAACAAAAAACTGATGATTTCACATCCTATTCCAAGGGTCCCAGGATTTCTCTGCCTTTAGTGCCCGCCGTTCTTAGTCACGCTGCTTCGAAGAATGAAGAGGTAGACCAGATGGAGAGTGGTGGGCAGCAAAGCAAAGTTTATTGAGCTCCTGGAGACTGAGGGCGGCCCAAGAGAGTTGCCCTCAGAGTTTCTAAGTTTCAGGGGTTTTATGAGCTCTTTTACAGAACTCATTCAGGGTGTGCTGAGTCGTGCCGACCAGGGCTTTGGTCATGTATCTGTCTACCTATTGGGTGAATGTCTATATGTTGATGGTCTTTCTTGGCTGCCATCTGGGGGCTTATGTCTTAACTGCCCCTTGCCTATGATAGTGGCAAATGCGTTGTGATTAATTGCCTTATTTTAGGACATTTTGTAGAAGTCATTTCTGCAAAGGGTGCAAAGCAGAATGCTAGTGTGGTCCTATCTAAGCTGCAAAACAGAATGTCGGTGCTGTTTTATTTTAGCTGTCCTGATGCCGTATTTTCTTTTGGGGACCCCAACCCTGACTCCCTAACTGTCCAACTAACTCCTGAAAGTGTAAAAATCTGAACTCTTTAAAGATCAACAAAACACATGCGTTGGGAGTCCCCAGCCTACTAGAGACCTTGTGAATTCACATTAGAGTTGAATAATAATTAAGATCATACAATATTTTTTTAATAAAACCAATTTTCCACTTTCAAATGACAATTCTACCAACTTTTCTACATCATTAAATTGTCAAGAGGCAACTTCTCCTTATTCTATTTGAGACACTTCAGAAATTAGTAATTGTGTTTCCATTATATTTTTCGGTGGCACATCAGATTGCTTCCTTTTCTCTTTTCCTTTACTCAGTTCCTTCATTCAACAGATATGTAATAGCTGGCATCTATTC